TTATTATTTGTACATTTGCCCAAAAGCAGTCAAAATGATTTCCTTGGGCAATCTAGTGTTAAACATTGACTTAGAATAGTGATTCGAGTGAGAAAGGTCGAAGTTTAATTTCGTTTGACACCGCGAAGGCTGCAAATGAAAGACCCGATTTTATCATTTAAATTATTTTCATTTTCTACTCACTAACAGCAGCCGACGTGGGACAAACGGGAAACCGACTCGACGGCGAATAGACGAGTCTCGTTCACGCGAGTCGAGTTCACTGAAAAATAAATTGTAAGGTTCTAACGCATCGCCGATTAACCGGCGTGAATTTACTCAGTCGACTCGACGCTTAAACCGATTCGCCTGTATCAATCGGCGTTAATCGTCGATCGTATTTATGAATCAAGAGTAGAAGCGAAGCGATTTCAAAGAGTTAGGTACTATCGTTGTTCCGTTGATCGTTTTTTCATAGATTTTATTACGCCGTGACCGCATCGCGTGCTCTTGCCGAACGTTCGTCGGTTGATTCGCTGGGAGGAGGTAAACGAGAACGGTGCCGGAGATGACCGAGCTGTAGCGTTCGCGATGTGCCCCGAGATCGTTTCGAGGATCGGTCGTGATCCTTGGATCGAACATTCGGGCGGACACGTCGGCCGAGGGAGCCGATTCGGGGGATTGAATAGAGTAACACGATAGATAAATGGTAGGAATTAATAGAAAACGAAAGACGCTTGCTTATATATGAATTACAGAAGACGGAACCGAGGAGTCTAGTCAATTAGAATGATCCCCCACGGTGTTCCCCTCCCCGGCCGGACAGCAACGGTTGCGATTTCCTTTTCACTTTGTTTATTCGATATTTAATCAAAATTTGAACCTTCCAAGGAACTGTCCAGTCAACCAAAGAACGAGAATCAAATACGAATTTTAATTAAATATTGTATACAAGATCTTTATTATAGATGAAGTGGACGCCGGAAGGAGTCGTCGTTTCGGTGACGCGCTACGCGGCTTCGAGACGCGGTCGATTCCTTCGGCGAGAGGTAAACGAATCCCCGGGTGTGAAAGTTGTGAGGGAATCGCGAGGTCCCACGGGACGCGGCCACGCCTAGCCAGGACTATTTTTCTAAGTTGCAAAGCATAATAAATTAACGATGTTGCATTATCGTTATTAGAGTATATATTACCATGTACATTGATATTTTAACTAGCCGAGTAAGCGACATACGTACGCGGTAATCGTTGCGAGCATAGCGAGAGAGAGAGCTGGATATAATATAATGATTATACATATTGTAGATAAATTTGGTTGCGGATCGGTTCGCACTTGAGGTCGTCGAGCGCCCGCGCGCGCTGCGACACGCTCGTTAGCCTGGTAAATTCCAAACGGTGGAGTAAAAACGAATAATTGTTCGGCCGCCGGACGCCGGCCGGCGAACGTCTTTTCTTTTGTTTCAGCGTCGATCGGGGTTTCGCAATAGACGGGAGAGATACAAAATTCCTAGACGCGCGCTGACACGAGGCTAGAACTTAGCATCGCGTGGGTGATGGGTGTAAGTAATTACGTGAGAAAAATATGAAAGTCGGTGTGCGTGCGCGTGAATCAGTCGAGAGAGTTAAACACGATCGTCGTGTCCGGTCAGTGACCAGGGAAAGAGAGAGAGAAAGAGAGAGAGAGAGAACGAAAGAGAATTAAAAATATGAATCGTTCTGTCAGTCACCTCACGTATATATAATACAATGTCATAATACTATGCTGCCATATGATATAAATACATGTCTACGGTAAGGAGTATATTACTAAAACATTATAAATAAATATGTTATAAGTAATCGCAGTTGGATGTCTTTATTCCCTTTTTTATTATTATAATTGAAGGATAAAGGAATGCATGGAACGTCACTCAATAAATCGGCCAAAGACACATCGTTCGATTCTTACATCTTTATTTCTCAGAGAATCGACATTTACCGATGATCGTTAGGAGAACCATGTGAGTAAGCCCTTTAAATTCTTATACATAGTAAGTTTGTAAGAAAATTAATTATTTTACAGTCAGTTACGTGCGGAACTTCCTCGCCAGCCATTAAGTAACGCAATGTTTAATCCGAGACGCATAAATTCTGAGACGGCCCGGTGGAGAATTATTGTTAAATTAATCATATGAATTTAATCACTCTTGATCAGTGCATCTTCTTGCAAACATGTTAGGCGTTATTATAGTCTTAATTGCGAACTCGACGTCGACCGAGCAGGAGGTCGTTCGTACATGTTGGCTTGTAGTTACTCAATGCGAGTCGCAGGATCAAACGTAATTTTAAAGATGTAATTTTATAGAATCACACTCACGCGTCAGATCATTCTTCCTTGGATTAAATCTCGACCCATTGCAACTTGTAATAGTTCTCGAAGGTTGCTCGGTTAACATCACGAATAAATCGTTCATATCTTTTATTTATTGCAAAGATTCATAAATAAAAGACATAAGCAACCTAGCCGTAATGCTTATTAAATTTGCAAGTTCTTCATATTTCTTCTTGTAAACATATCAGCCGTTATCATAGTCTTATTTGCGAGCTCGACGTCGACCGAGAAGGAGGTCGTTCGTACATGTCGGCTTGTAGTTACTCAACGTGAGTCGCAGAATTGAACGTAATTTTAAAGATGTAATTTTATAGAATCACACTCACGCGTCAGATCATTCTTCCTTGGATTAAATCTTGACCCATTCCAACTTGTAATAGTTCTCGAAGGTTCCTCGGTTAACATCACGAATAAATCGTTTATGTCTTTTATTTATTGCAAGGATTCATAAATAACAGACATATGCGATGTATCCGTAATGCTTATTAAATTTACATGTTCTTCATAATATTTCTGAAACATACCAGGTGTGAACGCACCATTTTTTCAGGGTCCGTCAAATCTTCCTTAATCGCATTACAGATGAAATAATGTGCTTCGCCGATTTACAGATCTATCCATTAACTTAATACACATAATTAAGTAAAATGAATAGTTCTACATTTCAGAAAGCATTTTCTTCGCTGCAAACCGGTCGTTGGAGAGTCCCAACGCAATGATAGCTCCCGAACGCTTCAAATTTAGCAACTTCCTTCAGAAACTCTTCTCTCTTTCCTCAGAGGCCAATTCCTTCATTTTGCACGTTTCAGTTAAGTATGATTAACTTCCCAGTCCTAATAATATCCAAGCATGCTGATCGAACTTTCTTTGTGACACAAATAAAAACGCGAGAAACTGGTTTATTAATTTTATATGTTAATTGTAATTATTCAAGAAACTAAATCAGTGAACTCCGATTTTACGTGATCGTCGCAAGCAAACTAGGAACGAGACTGTTAAACCATCGACACACGCACAGTGATTTCATTTGGCAAAAACTTGCAAAAAAAAACCAGCCGTTTCTGGCGATTGTTTTCGTTTTGATTTTCGAATATTTCTATTTGTACTGCTACGTATATACCAGGAATATCAATATTTGTTGTTCTTATAGTTGAAACGGATTCTTCTACATATCTTACTCAATTAATAAATAAAATTTTTTATTGCAAAACCTTTTCGTTTGTCCTAGCGAGAACTGTCTCAGGCAAAAATTGTATTATACGTTTTATAAAAATTGTATTACATTATATTGTAATATATTATCAGCTACGAAAAAGATACTGCACCGTTCGATCCTACATCTTCATTTCTCAGAGTATCAAAACATTTACATTATTGTCTTGCATGATTTTAACATTCTTTTTCGTTTGTTCCAGATATCTTTCAGTCAACGAGTCCAGAATTAATGAAGACAGCATCTGAATTTCTTACAGCACCAGTGTCAGTGATAAATTTATACGTATAGTACTTAAGCATTCCTCTTTGCAAATTATTGTGAATTTCTTGTAGTTTAATTAATAAAGAAATAGTTTAAACGGAATTCAAACGTTTTATCACTTACCTTCAACTCTACTCATATCTAATCCCTTCTCCGTGTCATCTTCACTTAGTATAAGTAAAAATAAGATGAAATCGAAGAAATTTTTGGAATTCTCACACCATGAATTAGTGCCACCTCCTATACTGTTATGTTCTCCTAATACAAAGTCCAATTTTAGACAAAAATTTGTCATTTTGAGAATTCTTGGAAATGACGTCATCAAGAGGAGTTAGTACTACCTCCTATACTATCATATTCTCCTGATACAAAGTTCTTAGCAAATAACTCGTTAACTGTTCACAGAAAACAGATTTTTGCAAATTACTCGTAAACTATTAATGCTAGCGAAAAACTTTTATACGGAAATTGTAGAGAACGACGAGATCTACAATTTCTATATAAAAAGCTTTCCCTAGCATTAACAGTTTCCCAGTTATTGAAGAAAAACGAAAAAACAGTTTTTTGCAAATAACTCGGTAACTATTGGCACTAGCGAATTCTTTCTACACAGAAATTGTAGATCTCGTCGTCCCCTACAAAATGGTTCTAAATACGCCCCCCTACGTCCATCCGTTCGGGAGTTATTGAGGAAAAACGAAAAGTCTTTTTAAAAGTTCACAGATTCGACGGGCGAATTCGCCTTCAGATTCTGCAATTCGCCCGTCGAAATAGCGAACTTTTAAAAAGACTTTTCGTTTTTCCTCAATAACTCCCGAACGGATGGACGTAGGGGGGCGTATTTAGAACCATTTTGTAGGGGACGACGAGATCTACAATTTCTGTGTAGAAAGAATTCGCTAGTGCCAATAGTTACCGAGTTATTTGCAAAAAACGAAAAACAGTTTTTTGCAAATTACTCGTAAACTACTGACACTAGCGAGAAACTGTTAGATAGAGATTGTAGATCACGTCGTCCTCTACAAAACGGAACCATAAACGTCTTCCTAAGTCCATCCGTTTGGAAGTTATTTGCAAAAAACAGAAAAACAGTTTTTTGCAAATAACTCGGTAACTATTGGCACTAGCGAATTCTTTCTACACAGAAATTGTAGATCTCGTCGTCCCCTACAAAATGGTTCTAAATACGCCCCCCTACGTCCATCCGTTCGGGAGTTATTGAGGAAAAACGAAAAGTCTTTTTAAAAGTTC